TCTCTCTCTCTCTCTCTCTCTCTCTCTCTCTCTCTCTCTCTCTCCATCTCTGCTTCGTTCTCTCCGTTCCACCCATTTCGTCCCGTTCGTCCCGTTCGTCTCGCTTCGTCCTTCTCCTTCTTCTTTCATTGCAGCCATCTCGCTTTAGCGCGATCTCTGTCTATCTCAAGGCTCAGTTCTCTCTTTCTCTCTAACTTCTCTTGCGTCTCTCGTTCTCTTCGTCACGCGTTTATATCGCTCTCGCTCTTTCGTGGTCCAACAGGTTATATTTTTCCGTAGCGGCATTTCATCCTCCTATTTCTCTAGTCCGATCCGGTGTTCTCCCTTTTTCTCTTTCTCTATCTTTCGGTGTCTATTTTCCTTGGGTTGGGTACACGTAGACCATTTTTCTTTCTGCCGTGGCACATGTTTCCGTTTCGTCGACGACAATGACGACGTTCTACCGACTTAATGATGAACCTTTGGTCATCGCAAAGACAATCTGTCTGGGGCGAATTTAATATTCTAATGGTGTATCAAAACATGTCATGGTGTATCTCGATTTAAATAAGAATTTGAGAGATTTCTGTAATCTTATAATGTTCGTTCATATAATTATTTCCCATACCGAAATACAGCAAGACATATGAATTGTCTTAATATGTATCGCAAGTTACGTATAGCAGATATAAGAAAGAGAAAATGCGGTGTTTATTATAAATCACGAATTTGTTTTTTTTTTATTGTACTCGAATGATAGTATCGAATGATTAATAGCTGCTCTTCTCGCAAATAATATTCGGGAGGATCGTAATAACTTTGCAATTTACACGCCCTAAGTCAGCGAAGGATCTTCAGTAAGCAAGGATAATTAACGCCGCAATTAAAACTCGCGTTTGCTTATATTTATTTTTCATTTTATTAAATTGCGACAAATGATTTAAGCGGCGTAGGACCGCATACACGCACATACACGTACACGTGCACGCGCGCGCGTGCGCGCGAGCAAACACAACTTACCGAGCAAAAGTAAATATTGTATCGCAAAAGTGGCGGGACGGGGGCATTAATTCGTTAAAAGCATTCCGGCGACAAGTATTTTTGCTTTTTTCTTTTTTTAATCAGTATAAGTGCATCCTTCGTCCCTTGCGCGCTAATCTAGCTCGACCATTTCCATGTTCGTGGTCGCGAAACTGCATGAAACGCCGCACGAGCCACCGCAATAATCATGTTTATAATTCGCGTCGAATAACGGCTATTCAATTAAACGCTTCTTGGATCGGCAATGTATATTATCGGGTGAAAATCAGAAATCGCCCAATGGTCATTATTCACGTGTCGTTATATCTCCGCTGCTCTTGTCATACGTGACGTTCGAATGTTGATCAATACGCTTTTTTTTTTTTGGATGGAACAGCTGAAAAATTGGCTGTCGAAATAACCGATAATATATTTACGCATCCCCAGAGACAGGCGATAAATAAACACATTTATCATTGTTTACGAAAATAAAAAGGAAAATAATGACCTTCCGATTTCGAATATTAGGAATTTTTAGTTTTGCTGAAGACACTTTGCTGACGACATTTCACTCTTGTTAATTTCTCTTTTATTAAATTCCTTTAATAAAAGTCTTTACGAAAATAGATGTGTGTGACGTACGATGTGACGCGATGTAAGTGTATATGTGTCAGGTTAGTGATTACCCTTTGAATTCACTTATTCGCGGGGGAAGGCACGTGGAATCCTGAAAGCGAGTGCTAATGAGGCGTGCTGATTCCTCTCGTTAAGGGACTAAATTACGGGACGCGGCAAGGCCGGCAAAGGCCCGAAGGCCCAACGAACGGAGGAGGCACTTTCATGCGTAATCTCGTCAATCAAAAGGCACTATCAGATGATGTTTATATACATTGACTCTTCTATTTGTGCAGCACATACGTCTCCTTCCGTCCTCACTATTAATTTTAATGATTCATCGTGCGAAGTCAATTCCTTTATAAAAGAGATTAGATTTATTTCCACATTAATATTTATTTCCATAGTTAGTTCTCTCTTAGCCAAAGATATTATAATGTCGATGTTAAAATGTTGACAATGGCTATTACACATCTGTCTTATGCGTATATTAACTTCAAAAAAAATTTTTTTAGAATATCTTAACGTTTAAATGAGGCTGGACATTGATGATGTTTCGGTGAAATTAATATTGCCATTGTGCAACGTCATCGGCGAATAATGACACCACGGAATACAAATTGTGTTTTCATATAACGCACAATTATATCGCAATTAAACGCAGCGTTATAATAAATCGTCATCAAAATCGGCGAAGGTAATTACCAATTACGAAGGTCGTTTGGGATTTTGCATTCTGCAGCTCGATGCGTACCTGATATCCCTATTTTTTTTGCAATTAATTGAAACGTACATCGAGGTGATTAAGTAAAAGGCACTAGCAATAGCTATGTTTACCAGAGAGATCCATCTATATCACAAATTATTTTTTGTGCTAT